CTATGCTCATTACTCAGCCAGTATACATTTTCTTCCAAAATTGTTTGGCACATGACATTTATTTGTAATCTTGAACATTCAGTGTAAGTTTCGTTAGATTCTGTGAGAATTAATTTTCTTTTTTTACCAGAACTCAAGTTTATCTTTAAGATCGAGATAAACATAGTGGCTGGAATACTGTACATCATGATGCCCCACTCCCTCCTCACAATGAATACTCATCCATCCCTTCGCCTCTTTCTCTTTCGTCTTTCTCTCCACTTCTCTCGACTGCTTCGGGCACAAGCAATTAAAGACAGCCATTATTGAACAAAATATAATTAAGTTATTTCTGCTTGGGTTTCTATTCATTCAAAGCCAACTCAAATCAATAAACATACCCGTACATCATGGTCAATTAGATGGGAAATAAACCGACTAATTCGCCTGGAAACGACGGTAATTAAGGTGATCATCGTTATATACGTAAATGGGGCAGTTCTATTTGTCATATTAGCAAATGGTAATATTATTCAGATTTAGGCTACGTCCCTTCTAGTATATGATTCTGGTTGACCTATAAGGCTACCCGCAGGAATGACAATGCGGATGCTCTAAGAAAATAATATGGTGTTGATTTAGATGACTTGGTATACAAGTGTATTTCGCTTGACCGTGTTGGTAAAAGCCACAACATGATACTAATACTTTCTGTACGCATCCATCAAACTATTTGAAGAAATATGGTTTGATAAATTATAGCGAGTCTTTTTAACAGAAACAAGAAGATATAGAGATTTTTTTTAATTTTATAATTTAAATCTATATTAATAATACGTTTTTCTTCTTCAAATGATAGTCTGCACTTTTTGTCCATCCGGACAAGCCAAATTGTTTATCAGTGTGGATTTATGTTTGGAATACCTTCATAGTTAAGATAAAAACAAGTTTAAACTTCAATTTCGCGGCGCAAATAGCGTCTCCCTTTAAGTGAAGCTCATTCATTTCTCAGTTTATTCATTAGTTGGTCATTTTTTAAATACCTCTCCATTCAAACACAAACTAGACTCTTAATTGCATTCATTTTTAAATAAACATCATGAACAGAACAAAGATGGTTGACGTAGTGCACAAGAATAACAAACCCGGGAAGGTAACCTTGAAGTTCGCAATTCAAAATATTTTCATTCTTGCAATTATAAGTGACGTCATATTTTTGTTTATGCCGAAAGCCAAACCATAACAGTTTGCCTGTTAACTTCTCGTCAGCATACAATAATAATTATTTAACCTTCCAGGGTCATACGCACATGGACTCCTGAGAGCGAGAAGGCCTTTAACTGATAACGATCTCACAGAGATTTAACTCCCTTTTGGCTCTTACCAGTGAAGTCAACATGGTCCATGGTAATGCAAAGAAAAATAATTTTGAACGAAAATCTCATGAATAATCTGAATGTGCATTTAATTGCTTCTTTTTATAGCACAATAGCTCTTTGCCCAAGCGAAATGCAATACAGATGCCATATTTTATTCGCCCCACACCGCTTAATAATAATCAATTATTGAATTCAATATCCAAAGGCAGATAATACATCTTATATGCTATTTACGCCTACATTTGGATTTGCATGTATCTATAATTATGCTCAGTGAATACATGTAATAGGTAGTATATAATTATATATATACTTCTACTCATATGGAAACGTTGTATCATCCGCTCAATCTGACTTGCGTGCATAGAACAAATAAGCATTTTTCCATGAAAAAGTGAAGTTTTCTAAAATGTGCGTTTCTTTCCAGCATTGGGGCGCCCGGAAGTCACTCGGGTAACATTTCATAAAGTATAATATAAAAAGACCATATGCAAATTTTCTGTACTTTCGTCGGAAAAAATACATTTACCCGGCACAATGTCGTGTCTTTTTGCGTTGGAGAAGAGCAAATAACGAGTTTCAATCGCACTTTGGCCGCTCTCGCAAGCTCTCACTCGTTTCACTGTGGTCAAGCGACTTTGGGGCAATCGGTTAATGAAAATACTAATCGTTAGCTTTCTTTTGGTATTAAACTTGTTTTGATTGATTGTATAATTTTGTCGGAATAAAGGAAACAAAAATGCTCGACCAATAACTTATCAGTGTCTGAATTGACCTTTTGACCTTGAATTCCCTGATGCAAGCGCACTAATGACGTCATCTTCGCTAAATCGGCGTCTTATATTGTAAAATGCGACACTTTCACAATGTTTATACATCTTTTTTTTTAACTATTAGTAAGATTTAACATATTTTTTCTGATATCACTGAAGTTTTGGGTTGTATTTAATAAGTAATTTTAAAATAGAGCCATTTTACTGTTTAAATTACTGGATCGTACCATTAAAGTCGCAGGGTAGAAAGATGCATTTTCCAACCGCGCCAAATTTAATTTACGTTTCGAAATTCTGTTGAATGGGTTCGTGTTGTTAAGAATCCACTGCTTTCTGCTCCAACGAACGTCCACATGCGGAGTCTTTTATCAACTAAAGTATTCAAATTTATGGATGCTTCCTAGCTTCCCAGGTGTTTGTGTTGCTGTTGGAGCATGTTATTCACCTGCTATCATTCTTTGGACTCCAATTGCCAGAACGCAAATTTCATTTTGGTTGCATAGTTTCATCGGAGTCGTTTATTAATATGTATTCAAATTTATGAATGCTTCCTTCCCAGGTGTTTGTGGTGTATATGCATTTCATTCACGTGTTATTATTCTTTGTACTGGCAATTGTTAGAATACAAAATGCATTTTGGTTTTATAGTTTCATGCAATAAGTAAGTTAATAAAAGAGTATGTTCTGCACAATAAAAACAATGTGTGTCCCTATTGTACAATGTAATGTGTCCCCTCATTTTGTAGTAGCTAATTTACCCATTCACATAATGGAACTACCTGCCCGGTGAAGCCAGGGGCCCGTGACCCCTGAGCACTCAACACCGTGTGGGAGTCACTTTGTGATCAACTTCTTTTATGAGACAAAATACAAGCAAACGTTTCCATATGGGTAGTATATTTTGCTGTCATACTGAAGTTGACACTACATCTTTTTGGCTTCTCTATAGTGCTATGTCGGTAGCTCAGGTAAGTCCCAAGAAGATGCACAGAGCTTCGGAGTTTATACAGGAATAAACTGACACACATCGAAAGTACTGATGCGTCGACATATCAAATATATTAGGTATAGAATTTCAGAATTCTTATATTTCAGAATTGAATATAACTAATACATGTACCACATTAGTCAGTTGAGACATCACACTTTCAAAAATAAAATCGTAAAAATAACAATACTTACATGTACAGTCATATGTATTAAGCAGAATGAATTTGAAATGGAACATGGAATATGACTTATTCGTTCATACACAATCACTTCCCTACACTCTCCAAACACACACTAACAACATACAACAGTAAAAGCCATTTATAGGTAAATTCTTATGAAACTACATTGTTGCTCAATTTTTCAACTTTATCACAATTCTGTTTACCATAAGATATAAAACTTTCTTGCACTTGGTCTGTGTTTGAAACTTATATTCGACAATTTATATTGCACAGACCAGTTTACAAGTCAATTCAAATTCCATCCATTTTTCTTAAACAACTGTTGCTCTATGGCGATCCAAAAGCTTGCCGGAGATTGTCTGACATATCGTCAACTAATTTACGCAAGATGGATGCCGTCCATATAAATGTTGAGTAAATTGTTAATGTTTGGTCCTTTTAGACATGCTTCCATACACAACAAGACATCTGAATGCGTTATTTTTTCGTAATGTAACTAAATGTAATGCATACTGTACGTCTGTGTGAAATGCCTTGATTCAAATTATTGTTACAAAAATCTTTATCTCAATATTCAGAATACGAATTGCATTCAGTATTATTTTGTTGCTAGGTGGGACAGTGTGGCTTGTCCTAACTAACGAAACGCAATGTATGCAATTAGCATTATGACTATTGAAATACATTTATTCATAAACAGGTGAATGAAATAATTTGTATGGAGGCAATTCACAAAGACGTATGCATGAAATTTGGTTACATTACGAAAATAGCCTACTAAGAGACGTTTTTCATTTTAACTCTGTATCTCATTTAACATCTGACAGACATACTATGACAGTCACCATGACACCAGACCGACACCAGACCAATAACAGACAAAATAAAAAATGGCTCAAACATAATCGGTTTGGAGTCGGTCTGACGGTGAGATTGATTTATTATTAGGCTGCTGCTGCGAATTTGATTGTATACAAAGGTTTAATATGAATGTGACTTACCTCATTGAGTTCAACCGTGACGACGCCATCTTTGTTTCTGGAGCCATGTTGTGCGATGGCTTGCAGTTTAGCCTTGGAAGTAGTCTTTTTAAATTTGAGATCCTTGTTATACGACTGCCCGCCGTGACTGCTTCCCGTCACTTGATTCATGTTTTATCCATAAAATTTACTCCTTTCGAGCCAAAAGAAATATCGCACATCGATCTCAACGAACGCGAGCAGACGACACCATCTGCGGTTTGAAATTTTTTTCCCGCTTGAACTGAACCTCAAGCGCATGCGCTGTCCAAGACGGCGGTTTTCAGCCAGAAGATATCGCTTATTAATGACGGTCACTGACACTCTGACACTAACTGATTCCAAGTGATACTCCTGATAAAACAAAAACGGTATCAACTATCTATGAATATGAACACGAACTCCTAAGAAATGACTTTCTTCAATAAGGAGACCCAATTTTCTTGCGAGTTGCCTAAAGGGATGGTACTCTCCCGTGATATGATCAAAACTGTAGTAAGAATCGCTCAATTATGTTTTGATCGACTCGGAAATATGAAGACAAAATATGGCTGATGAAGAGTATTATTTTAGGCATATGATAATTTTTTTCTCAAGAGATTTCCGGGGTCAGATTAAAAGGAGACTCCTGTATCATATCAGCATCAACCAAAATGAATATAAAATACTTTTTTCTTCTTCTAAAAATATGATTCCAATCTTACAAGTTGTCAATGATCCAAATGCAAAATACCCGATGACTTGTTAGAAAAACTGCATTTCTATATGGTATTTTCCATAGCACAAATCAATTTTCAGAGACAGCTTTTTCTCCAAACTATCTCATGCGCAACTTCTCCATCCATACGTCATCCAGGTCAAAGGTCGAGGAAGGATTCCAATGCCGGTAAAAGGAATCACGAACTGTGATGTATATCCAAATGATTAATCCGACTTAAGTACTTGGAAAATGATCGTAGATTTTAGGCCCCTGTGAGAGACGAAGGTCGTGAGCCGTTTAAACGACTGGACGCTCAAGCCTACCACGGATCACCTGTAGCCTACGGGAGAGAAAGAAGGGGGGGGGGGCAGAACAAAAAAAGAAAGAGCTCAATTAATATTGCATTGTCTCTAGAAAGCATTTAAAATGATTAGCTGATCAGCATGTTCACATAAACATGGCAATACACTTTTATAACATTTAATACAATTATTATACTAAAGCATTTCATACCGTAGCAGTAAGTATGAAGTGTATATCCAAATGTTTAGGCTTGCGGTTCAATGACCGAAAAGTCTTCAGCATAGTCGAACCATGGTCGAATCCTACGGATGTCTGAAGAAAAAAAATATGGGCGCAGCTCTGATTCATTATTCGAATCTAGAAGTAGAACACATACCGCGTCGAAACAAAAAAAGAAATTCAATATCGTATCATGAATATACAGTGGTATGCTATTGACAGAATGTGCTGTAAACATTTGTTGAAATCAACTTGCATTCTAACCACTCAGTAATGTGTAATTTGATGTATAGATCTACAAGGCGGACCAGGCTGCAGCACCTCTAATGATTTCGAAATAGCCATATTTGGTCACCCGTCATCATCTCATATTGGGGCAGTGAGATGCTCTATTTGAAATTTTACATCTTATCTAGTGTAAAATTTTGATGACACAATTACAATGTCAATACAGTATACTGTTAATTGCTGAGTATTTGCTCTCTCGCTTTGCTCACTTGCAAAATATGGAAACTGTTAAGTTGATATTCTGGAAAACGACGTCAGTGTCTCCTGGAAAAACTGTTCAAGAAAGCTCATACATGTAACTTCGTCGGTGTAAGATCGAAGAGCCATGCTTCTTTTCTTTTCTTGTTTTAAGTACATGTACGTGACGTGACAGGCAGTTTGTGAGTTGATCTGAAGGGGTTTCCCCCCATCTAACATTATAGACATTAATGTGTGGGCAATCTTCACAGATGTTTTTTTTTTTTTTGTCTTTTCTTCTTCTTCTATATGTGCGGTTAACCGTCTCTGGGGCAATAAGTGTGTCATTACCCTCGTAAGACACAACGATCTAGGAGAATAAGTTCGGGGTATAGGTGTTTTGTTTTGTTTTTTGTTTTTTGTGGAGGGGGGGGGGAGGCCTTTGGTGCTTGGGGTTCTTACATTCATTTTAATATACGTGTGCGTCTCTTAAATTCATTTATAATCGAGGAACTTTCGTGGGTTTGGGCCCCCCAACCTCCCACCACCCCTCCCACCACCCTCCCCCCCCCCCGCCCACCTCTTCTGGAACCGCTACTTTACGACACCGACATATCCAGGTAACTTCGGATACCTGTATATACTCGGCTCCGACTTCGTTATAGACTCCTATATATCTAGACCAAGGAATGCTTTATCCAATGACACAGCTGGCCAGGGGTATATGTTATTCCCATCCAGACAGGCCATGGCTAATAATAATTATGATTGTAGTGACTGGGCCCGTAATCTTAAGTTAAAACAGTGTCGCGCTATGAAAGTGGTGATGCTAATTGGAAAAGAAAACTGCGACCGGGTAAAGAGTTTTCCAGATGCAAGCAACCTTCAGCGTGCATAGAGGGGACCTTCTAGTGCCGTTGATCGCTATACGGTCAGTCAGCATACTGCATGTCGAAAAGGATTGTAGCACATCCCGGCCTATAAATGCCACCTGAAAAGTGTGTCATCTTGGCAAAATATTGATTCAAACGTCTTGGATTAAAGTCAACCAATCACACTTAGGATAATCGTATACATGCTTGTGTCATCCTGTCCCCAATATTCATTTCGGTTTTAGTTTATACAAATTATAGGCCTATTTACTATGGCCATAAATATTATTATTATTATATTACACATAATTATATAATTCAAATAAACATTTTAAAAAATATATCAGTCACTGACTTTTGTTACATCGTACCACTAAAACAAGTCCGGAATATTTGAAAAGGGTGGGGGAAAGGAATATCCATCAAACATGCTCAATATGTCATTGTAGGCATATTTGCATGCATGTCTAAGATTTGAATATGGTATATACCGGATGTTATTTAAAAATATTTCCATGAATTATCATGTCACTCTCTATTATCAATACATAATTATCAAATTATTGTTCCCAATAGAATAACCAGAAACGTTGGAATTATATAAATCAGGGGTAAAGGTATTTAGACTCCAATTCATTAAAAAAAACACTATTATGTTGTTGTTGCTGCTGCTGTTGTTGCTGCTGTTGCTGTTGCTGTTATGTTGATAAATAATTACAGAATGACAGATATAGAAGAGAGGGATTAACCATTGCCTTTAAGATATGTTTTCAACGTAATGGGGAAATAGTAGACAAAAATCTGACGTGATACAATTTACTTTTAATATCTCCCTTCCCCTTCTGTGCCTATTATCCTATATCCTCCAATACCCTCCCCACCCCCTCCCCCCAATTCTCCCATATATTGTTTCTCTCTCTCTCTCTCTCACTCTCTCTCTCACTCTCTCTCTCACTCTCTCTCTCTCCCTCTCTCTCGCCTCTCTCCTTATACATACGAATTGGTTGTAGGCCTCTGCAAAAAATACACACACACACACTTCCTCTCCCTCTACCAACATTCAATTTTGTTTTGAATGCTCGTCGACGTCCCCTACATCTAAGGAAAAAAAAAACACAGTTCATGCCACTTTCAGAGAGTTCTTGAATTTAATTTCCATCTTAATAGCAGCACGAGCGTGCCCCCAGCCCCTGGGCAATGTGTCACATCGAACTGCCGTCGATGTTCTCCCCCAAACGACGTAATTCACCAATAATTCATGAATTTTCGATTTAAAACGATGGAAGAATTCACATGTCGAAGTTTATCCGATACAAATCCGCCGCGATACGTGCGGTTAAGGAAAAAGAACACTGACTAGGATAACTGTTCATCCTTATTTCTTCTCGAGAAATGTCTCTTCTTTCTTCTCTCTTCTTTTCAGTATGAAATCCCTCATGCATACTTAAGTCGAAAGACACTGCATACTAAATAAAGATTTGGGCTTGTTGTGAACTTGTGATACATTATCATTCCGATAATAGATGTAGTGGGTGAATGTTTCCGTAAGCTAAGTACATTTTTTCTGTAATTTCAGTATCATGTATATAAATCTTTTTAAGAAGAAAAAAATAAGGAAATTACATGTAATTCGTCGATGAGATATTTGTAAATTTAGGTAGAGTATGCAAATCAATTGTGTGTGTTTATTTCTATCGGGTATATTCATCGCCTACAGGAGCTAAAACTTACAAATCTCGTCAATATATACGGCCCCTAAATAATGGCACCCCCAGTCAGACCGGTTTTTTTAGAGGGACGGGGGCACCATGACCACCACATAATATAATTTTGTTTAGCTGACGTTTTCCCCTCTCTTTCGCCGTTAATCTTCTTAGACCATTTTATATAGTCGTATGCTTCTCTTTTTTCTTTCTTTCTTTTTTGGGGACTCTCGGTCTGTGCCTGATTTAGTTAATGTGCAGCTCGAGAGTCCTCTATTGATGTAATTGTATTGATGTATACTTATTGTTGTTATTGTTTATATGTACGTTTTTGCAATATTTAGTGATGAAAGTTATTTGATATTTTGACTTGTGTAATTTATTCATGTATTTGTTACTGTATTTATGTATTATGTATACTTGATTTTAATTGTATATTGTCCCCAGGACAGGTGTCAGCCTCCGGACTGTTTGTTCTTGGTTTTGTGATGTGATTTGATTTTAATAAATCATATAATTTGCTTTATGTTCGAAATAATTCCTCCTACATAATCGTAGAAGAATGACTTACTATATGGTGCTTTCAAATTTGCAAATGAAAGAAAATGGGGGGGGGGGGGGGGTTCTCGAAACAGTCATAGGTCTAAGTTCCTGCACATCTATAATAATTATAAACAAGAATTGTTACGCGTTCAATGGGTTTTCCACAACCTTATAGACTGATGACAGTTTCGAGAAAATGGCCCGAGATCACAAACATAAAACAGAATAGAGCTGCAATAATTTAAACGATTATTCTGGACCCCACTTCACAGTTCACCCAGCATCAGAGACGTTGATTTTTTTTTCTTGAGACAACGTAGCCCATCACCCGTCACGATTATTTCAGAAATGCATAATTATGTGTAAACCTAGAAGAAGAAAAAAGGTGACTTACCAAAAGCAGATCCAACAGAAACCATCCGAAATACTCACGATTCACAACAACATACCCAATCATAACACATCAGATACATTTACTTCGATCACCATGGGTGTCGATCCCGGGGGGGATGGGGGGGATATATCCCCCCCCCCCCCAATATTTCAGGTGGGGGGGGGGGGGATGGCCTGTACAATCATCCCCCCCCCCCAATAATTCACCATCAAAAACAAACAAAAAATGAAGAGAAAAATTAATGATGAGAGCCCGATGAGAGTAGTTAATGGCTATTACTCGCAAGATGACCATCAATATACACATTTTGCTATCTCATTTTCATAATACATACATATATACGAAGTAAATAAGACAACCGTATATGAGACAAGAATAAATTGAATTCTCGCTCGTACGGCTTCATCAGGAATTGATGAATTTATTCAATTTGTTCAATCAACAGCATCATAGAAATGCAGTGCGCCAAATGCAAAGACGCAGCGTCAAAAAGCAACGAGCTAAATGTTAAGCGCGAAGCGCAAAAGTAGCAATCTGCAATGCACATCAGACAATCCTGGACAGTGTAAACATAGATGAACTCTGTGACGATTTCGTGATGAGATCGGAGACAAGGAGAAAGATTTTCAGACATTAGTATGACTTATAAAATAGTTCACTAGTTGTTATGTTGTTTCCGTTCACCCTTTTTAAAATTCACGTCATTGTATCTTTTTTTTTCTTTTTTTTTCACTCATTTTATTTCCTGATATTTCCTAAAACATTTTTCATTTGTGGAGAAAGATTATTATGTCACAACTTATTTGTGACACAACTAATTTTCAGTGGGGAAACTGAATTC